CAAATACAGACAAAAAAAAACTATTTATAATACGAATGCACAATTTAAAACCAAATACTTTTATTATGCTAAAAAATCTATAAAAAAATTGTAATAAAAAAAACCTTGGACGGATATTAAACATTTATCGGTAGGAGGGGTTTATTCGTGTCATATATCCATAAAAAATTCTCCCATCCCGGATTACTGGTTCTTGACAATATTTTTTTTGCTGGAGACCAGCCAATACATTGTAGCATCGGCGATTGTATATATAGTAAATACCGGCGTTCAGTAAGATATCCAGTCATTTGGTAGCTGCAGGGCTGAACAGTACCAACAGACGACAAGGCAGAAGCGACAAGCATTATGGCTTCTGGTGCTATGGTGAGAATGAACAAAACACTATTTTTCTTTTATTCTTATCACACATTCATAGTTCAACTGTTCAACAACTTGTATTAAAAATCTAATTAAAATATAAAATTATATGAACATCAACTAAGATCCAAATTTAGTGATATTAAAATGATAAATATAATAATAAAATGGTACCTATAGAGTATAGGTACTTAGCTTAATTTAGAATACTAGTATTTCTTATTTAATAGTTAATTTATAAATATTTACGCTTAAACATCGCCTTAATATTTAAAATAATCTAAATTCCACTTCAAGTTTCATGGGATGATAATCGCTGTAGAGTACCAAATATATATTTTTTGAAACAAATTTATATGTTAAATTACTTTTTCTTTATTCAACTTCCCTTATAACTATTATTAATATCTGTGAGTATAAACATGAAAAATGCAATTGTTAGTAATAAAATAGTTACCTTAATACACTAGATAGATGCCTAATACACTAAAAATATTATACATAATACATTTTTGAAAATTTTAACTTATGATGTTATTTAGTTGATAATTATGATAATATTATATTTGAATTACTTATTTCGAGATACTCATGATATGATACTTTAAGATGTATAGAAACGATTAACATGTAAAATTATAAATTAATAATTGAAAAATATAAACTTTATTCAAGATATCATAAATTTAACTTCCGTCATAGAATTATATAAATAACTATAAGATTTAACTAGACTTATAGTTAGTAGGTACAAGAACAAGGAGACAGTAATTTATACTTGTAAAGGGGAAAAAAAATATTAATTACTAAAAAAACTTACAGAAAAATATTTGATATTATTATGAAATGCTTTTCATTATTTTATATATATCTTGAAACGCTTAAAAAAATTTTAAAAAAGGTTTTATTGTAATTTACTATAAAAAATGATATACCTGGTTACTAACAATGGGTCAGATAAAATAATCAGTAACCGTAGTTGTGCACAGTACACAAAATTAAATTTTAATTCAATATTTTTTTCTGATTTGGATATAATTGTAACAATATATTATATTATAAAACGGAAATACTTAATAATTATTAATTTAAATTTTATTTATCAATACTTTTTTTAGATTCAAATAGCTCTACTAGGACTCCTAGTTGTGTCCACAGCATTTGCTGACACCAAGCCGGCAGATAAGAACGAGAAGAAAAGGGAAGCCTTATTCAACCCATTCACATTTGGAGCCAAGACTTTTGGCTCTTCAACCCCAGCCCCATTTTTGTTTGGTAGCTCATTCTCGTCGACTGCCGCACCATTCAGATCTGTTTCTTACAGCTCCACTCCAGTTCCGTTCGCATTCGGTAACTCTTTTGCATCAAATGCCTACTCCAACGCAGCGGCAGCTCAATCTTCCGATGGAGCATTATTCATTGGATCTTCCACACCTGCTCCATTCTACGATGGATCATTCGGTTCTTCCACCCCAGCTGCTCTAATTGGTTCATCTACACCCGCACCTTTCATATCTGGTGCCGCAGTGTCCAGTGCCGCACTATCGGACGCAAGCTTCGCGTATTCTTCCACCCCAGCTTCACTTTTAGTTGGAGGAGCTTCGCCCGTTGTTTCGTCTACCCCGGAAGCGGTTGTTTTGAATAGATCACCGGCTTTTGCTACATCATATGGTTCATACTATTCAGGAGCTTACTCCCCGTCGTACTCTCAAGGCGCAATCGTCAAGTCTGACGCAATCAGCAATGATGCCGTTGAAATACCAGCAGTAGCTAACGCCCCTGCACCTCATCACGAAGTTACCATCTCTAAAGAAGTTCCGGTTCCATACTACGTCCAAGTTGAAAAGAGAGTCCCATACCCCGTTGTCGTTCGTGTCCCACAACCATACCAAGTTACTGTAGAAAAACACGTGCCATACGCCGTACATGTCAATGTAGACCGTCCAGTTCACGTTCCTCAACCATACCCAGTCGAAGTTGAGAAGAGAGTGCCATACCCAGTAGAAAAGCCAGTACCTTATGAAGTGAAGGTCCCAGTCGACAGGCCGTACGCAGTTCCAGTTCCAGTTGAGAAACCCGTCCCATACGCGGTTGAAAAACCAGTCCCATACCCAGTGCGAGTAAATGTTGACAGACCATACCCCGTAGAAAAACCAGTGCCATACCCAAAAACCGTCGAAAAACCAGTGCCATACGCAGTAGAGAAGGCTGTGCCATACCCAGTAGAAAAATTAGTACCATAAGCAGTAGAAAAGAAAGTACCATAACCAGTAAGGTACGAAGTACCAGTAAAAGTAACAGTTCCAGTAGAAGTTAAAGTTCCAGTATCAGTGGACAGACCAGTCCCATACCCAGTAGAAAAGAGAGTGCCATACCCAGTTCAAGTTCCAGTTGAAGTTAAGGTCCCAGTCCCAGTTGCAGCTCCAGCTCAACGTTTCGCCACTGTCCACTATTATCAACAATCTCCAGCCGCTTTGGGATATGAATCAAGTGCTCTTTATGGACAATCTGGTTACAAAGCTTTCTCATCAGGTTTAGCTCAAGGTTCTGGAAGTTCATTCTACAGATCTACTCCAGCGTCTGCTGGTGCATTCTACAGCTCTACTCCAGCGTCTGCTAGTGCATTCTACAGCTCTACGGCTAGCCCAATCAGCACATACAGTTCAACTGTCAGCCCAGCTGGATTCTACGGCTCAAACGTCGTCCAAGAAGGTTTCGCTGGTTCATCCGCCGCTCCATTCAGTTTCGGCCAACAATCTTTCTTTGGATCTTCGACACCAGCCCCATTCAACACTTTCTCCTCTGACTTAGCATCTTCTGAATTAAAGTCCGCTAGCATTGGATCTGCCAGTCTAGATTCGGTCGCAGTTGGAAGTGCATCTTTGAAAGCCACCAACTTTGACGTTGTCAAGAAATAAATCGTTGAAAACTTAAATTTATCTGATATGGAATTTTCATTATTTTAATGTTCATAGAATAATGGAAAAATGATCTATATTTTTTTTAAGAAAGCCGTCATTTGTTTTGCAGATTGACGATTTCAATTATTAATCTGTAATATTTTAAAAATTATCAATAAAAAAAATATGTGCATTAATAATGTATTTACCCATTTCATATTATTCAACACCGTAAATCATGATAAAACGGCTATTACAGTCACAGTCCACAGGGGATACGGTCATCCGGCCGAATCCAAACGGCCGACGACTATATAGGCCGACAGTCGGATAGCCGAAAGTATTTTAGCCGACAAGGTCAAAAGGCCGACACTACGAAAAGCCGACACTAAAATAAATTAAGTATAAACTATTATTATTCGATAACGTAGTGTTGTCTTTTGTTGTCATACTGTTATCGATAACTTATCGAAATTTAACGATACCTAATACCTATAGCCTGTAAATATAACTATAATCTACAGTGGGTATTGCAAGTTCACAAATANATAACTTATCGAAATTTAACGATACCTAATACCTATAGCCTGTAAATATAACTATAATCTACAGTGGGTATTGCAAGTTCACAAATACTGTTTCAGTTGATTCGTTAACCACGTCACGTCTTTTCATTAATTTTTGTGTCGTTGTTTAATTTAATTTATGTATTTGCATTAAATAATTATGGAATATAAAATTGAAATTTTTGGAACAAAATTATTAATTGACAATTTTATCATGATTAAAAACAAAAACCGTAACAATAAATATTATTAGGAATGTGAAAAGAGGAAACATAGTAAACGGCATAATAGTAATAACGAATATTGTAATGCAAGAGCAGTAACAATTCTTGTTGATGGTAATCATATTGTTAAAGATAATTCTTTTTTAAATCACAACCATGGGCCTGACCCATGCCGATTGTTGGTAAAGAAAAACATAAAATATATTGTTTCAAAAGCTTTGTCTTCGAGAGATAAACCTTCGCAAATAATACAGGAAGCAACGAGTCGCATCCCCGTCAATTCTCAGCCATACATGCCATCAGTTGAAGCAACGCGAAAAATTATTTCACGGTGTAGAAGACATCAGAAACCACCAGAACCAACAAGTCTTTCACAAATAGATATTCCTCTTAACTTACGTAAGTCTTTTAATGGTCAAACATTTTTACTAAAAGAAAGTACTATTGAGGGTCACAAAATATATATTTTTACTACTAAAGATGAAATATCAAAACTTGTCAATGCCAATTACTGGGTTATGGATGGTACATTTAAAACTGTGCCAAGTATATTTTTACAAATGTACACTATACATGCACCTGTTGGTGGAAATAATTCTAGAATTTTGCCATTAGTATATGTTTTAATGACCAGTAAACAACAATGTTGTTACGAACGTTTATTCGAAGACCTAATATCGATATGAGCCATTGTTTCCACCATCATTTTGGTCAATACATTTCAATCATGAAAACAATATTCCAAGGACACAAAACAAAGTCGAAGCATGGCACAAAAGATGGAAAGTATTAGTAGGAGCTGATCACGTTGGGGTATATAGTATAATTGAGGAAATGAGAAAAGAGCAACAACACGTTGTGGGTAAGATAAATTCACGAATAAAAATATTCTACTAATATTACAATAAAATATAATTTATTTATACATAAATTTTGAATCCAGAGCAAATTCAAATTATTTTATCCGGACAAGCAAGGCCAAAACAAAATTCAAAGTACATAAAACGTCAAAACCAAATTCAAACTATTCTTAATGATAAAGAAAACAGGACAACCCTCGAGACAATACGAGGTATTGCATACAATTTGCACTATTAATTTTTATTTATTAACATTTAACTATATAACATAATTATCAATAATAATTTATTAGTATTTTTTATTTTTATGTATGTATAAATATCAAATTTTTTAATTTTTAAAATATATTAGGAATATAAAATGTACTTATAATTATTAATAATACACTATATTTTATTTTTAAGAATAAGTATCACCTATATATATATATATATGTGTGCATAATTTACCTATCACAACATAAAATTGCTTAATCGGCCATTTAATATGTCGGCCTAATGCGTGTCGGCCTATAAATTTGTCGGCCATTTAGTATGTCGGCCTATTGCGTGTCAGCCAAATGTCTGTCGGCCGATTGTACCACACCCAGTCCACAGACATTAGAAGACCGCGTACATGTTTTATACTCTACGTTTAGGGGTCTTATATTTATTTAAGCCTTTAAAATGCTTAATATTACATAATTTAGTAAACAACTAAATGTTTATTGTTTAAACGAAGTAACGAATAATACCTAATAAATATAAATTTTAATCCGGATTTATTCCAACTAGGTATGTGTCGCGGTCTCCCAGGGGCGTCGCGAACGAAGTGAGTTCAGTCAAAGAACTGGAAACAGTGGAAACTATAATTAATGTTATAAATAAATACATTTAAATACATAGAAACATTATTTTTTCTGTCGTTAATCATTTGGGAGCCGTCAAAATATTGTGAAGACACAAAGGAGTCGTTGTATGAAAGAGGTTGATACCTCTGCTATTATAGGTCTGCTAACCTATCAATGTTATGTAATATTTTTGTAGCAGTTCTATGAAGACGTCGATTGACACTTAGTAGTTGGCAGTCAAGGTCAACAAAATACTAACTGATGAATCAATAATAGGTACCTAGGTACATTATTATTATTTTTTTTTTATTAGATAAAATAAAATATATAAGTACGGTAAAATTAATTACGCCTATACAAATTGTATTGATTAATTAATAACTCCGTTTGACCTTTAAGACTAACTTTAGCTTGTGAAGGGGTTGATGAAATTATAGTATTATACGTATACCTAATTATAATCAATAACTATTATATTAACTTATTACAGGTAAGTAACATTTTTTTATAATTTGTCCGATTTTATCGAACAAATAATAATTTTGCGATTGTCGGAAAGGTTATGTTTTTTTTTACAATGCAATTAGGTTTATTTTTGTCTGTGATACCTTTACGGCTTTAACTATTACATATTAATATATTAGGTATGCAGTTATAAAAAAGTGAATGGAAATTACCTAGATTGCGAGTGGAGCGAGTTACCATGTAGGGCTGCCGGCTGGTCATAACTGTTGCCATCTTTACTGAAAACTAAAAATGATGCCACACTGGATTGTCTTATTGTATATTATTTATTTTGTATATATAGCTATGTTTAAACCAGCATTATAGAAAATACTTTATTGATACATTTACTATAGCATTGAAAACCGTCGTCAGTTGGTCTTAAACTTAGTGAAAACATTTTCAGTCTTACCAATATCTCTTTTGTGTGGGTCCCAAATCGTAATATGGTAGGTCTAAATATCTGAGTTATACATTTTAAAATTTAAGCTCAATGATGTTTTTTATTTTTCTCTAAATTCTTAAAATACTCTCTTAATAGTTGATATTCCATTAAATAGTGGTAAAATGACTATGCTCAAAATATGCTGTTATACATGGGATTTATTTTTTAAGGGGGGGGGGGAGGTTGGTCTGGAAGGTAATCATATGTCACCCTTATATTTAAATATTCAAATAAAGTATGATTTATTATAATGTTATTTCTTAATACTTCTGAGTATTAGTATTATTCATGAATTTAACCCTGGTTTTGCATATAACTCGTAAGATAAAAAAAAGAGTTAATCAAACAGTACACTATAATATTTGGAAGCACCCGAGTGACCACCAATTTATTTACAATAGTCAATAACCATTGAGCGGCTCAAACATAAAAAAACGTTGAGTATGGCTACTCCAACTGATGGCCCACAGGTAAATCACCTGTTATATTTTCATGATTTGGCGTTGGTATTATTTTAATTAATTGAAATAATTATGTGAATTGAACGAAAATCTGATTATGAATGAGTAGGACTCCTTAAATGCTTAGTAGTTTAAAATTATGAATTCTTATTTTATTTGGATATATTCATCTACAAGTAAGTTGTGCTGAACCTTGTACTTTAATAAAGATATTTTAGAGACTCAAATTTGTGAATTATTTGCATCTCCTCCACCGATATTATTAAACCTACTGTAAGACTGACTTGTACACAGTACACTAAATAATGTGATGATGTAAGTATTCCAATATCTAACTATTTTTTTTTTAAAGAACCATTGTACATAATCCAATACAGAGTTAAGAGGTGGAAATCAATTTATACAAAATTTAATTTATTATTTATATCTTATGTATTCATTTTTTAATTTTTTTGATTACATTATAATGCAATATTTATGTGAGGTTGTATAAAAATTGATTAATTGATTAATATACTAAAATTGGAGATCAACTATAATTCACAGGACACTAAATCTGTGATAATTCTATTCAATAAAACTATGCAACCTATTGCAACCTGTCATGAAAATTAATAATTAAAGAAATATGATTACCACACATGTATGGTGAACATTCATCAACATTCTTTTTGTGTAAGATTTTCAAGCACATTTTATTGATTTAAATAAATTATTAGAGAAATAAACAACCACATTTACATACACATAATATTTTCTATGCAGTTTAAAGTAATTTTATTAAATAAAAAAATTATTATTATGGAAGTTACTAGTGGAATGTCACGCATAGCTTTGTACAGAACAGGAATAAAGTTAACACGTAACATAATGGGGAATAATTTTAATTTAAAAAATTCATCTTGATCAAATAAATTTTAAAAAAAGTATATATATTTTTGAAAGAAAATAATTATTATAATAGATTTTGTAATAAAATCATTGTAAGGTATAAATTATTATACAAATCAGAACCACTGGATAATACAATTCACACATGTGTACTGTAAGTCTGTAAATGATTTATCTTATCTTCTAAAATCATTATAATAACCATGATTGCGTTTGTTGTGATGATAATGCGAATTTCTATCACTCCTGTCTTCCCATTTTCTTTTATTATCTCTTTTACGATTCCAGAATGGTCTATATGAAGGAACTAATGGTGGAGTTGTAAGTCCAATTGTTACTGTAGCAACAAAATCTTCATCGTCATCTGTGTATCGATTTATAAACTCCTCCTCAAATTGCAATAACTTTTCTTTCTGATTCTCTGTTAGTGGTTCATCGACACATGTTTCAAGGATTTTAAATGTAGTGATGTTATCTTTAATAACTATTTCATGTTTGCTATCTGTTGAATTTTGATTACTCGGAGATGACATTTTTAATCTGAAATCTCTTCTATCGTAGAAAAATGTTTTGGCACCACAATCAGTGAGTCAGCATCTTAAAAAAAGAACCAAAATTATAATGAGATTGAAGATATTATGTAAATTTAGAAATTAAGATTAAAATTAGTGGATATTTATAAGAACTACAACTGATTCTAAATACATGAATAGTAAAATTTAATAATATTAAAAATTAAAATATAACTAGATTTTTCTTTTATTTCAAAAATGTTGTTTTTATGTTGTAAAACAAATACAAATTAAGTTATTAACATAGTATAGGTATTATGATTGAATTTATTGCTATATTTATATAAGTATACACAATATATTTTACCTATTTAAAATGCATTTAATAACATAAAATGTAAATAATTAAATTTATGTATGCAGGTAAAAAATATCTTTTAGAAATCTGAATACTGTTTCAAAAAAGGAGGCTATAAGGACAAAAATAAAACAAATTGTTTTAACACGATACTCATAACATATTTAATATTTGGGTATAATGCACTCTACTAGTGGCGACAAATAAAGATTGCGTTTGACTTAATTATTTACTCAAACTATTGGACTGAAGATGCCAATCCAGCATGTGTTGTCTCCGTCTTACAAACGTACAACATACCAAATTAAATTTAACAATAATCCATTTTTCTTTGTTATTTATAAAATTAGAATGAATTGGCGTATGATAAAATTTAAAGGTAAGATAATTATCTAGTGCATATAATAGGACTGAATTGATATTATTATTTTTAAGTAAGTTATGATGGTTTTTAAATGTATGTGCCATGTTATATGTTCATAAAACCGAGAAACACATGCGGGTGAGGTGTCTTCTCAGTAGCTTTTTCGATGTGATTCCAGACATATCTCTGGGTAGCATTAACAACACATCAAAAATATATTAGTACCTACTGGTTAGTAGAATTTTTTATTTTTAAGTCATTAACAATCAACAAGTTAAGCTCACGTAGTTCGTTAATAATACTTGAGATGATGACAACATAAAACCCTTCTTTTGATGGGTATATTTTATCACTGGTAGCCAAATGTAAAGGTTCAAACATCCTAAAACATAACAAGGTTTAAACAATTTAAAGATATATAAATACATACATTTAAAATAACTTGTAGTAATAACTGAATTTAATACAAGGTTCTTCATAACTAGTTATAATAGACATTAACAGTTGAGAAATTTTAAAGGTCCGTGTTATATATAATCCATGCATATTATGTACCTATACATTATATATATATGTGTACATCCATCTTATATAAAAATAAACAACAACAATTTTTCAACTTCAGAAGAATTTATAATGAAAGAAATGTTTAAACCAGATTTGGAATATGCTGGTTACAAGTTAATATACAAATACGTCAAACAATTTTGAGCATCTGGTATAATAATATATACTTATACATTGTATTGGTACAACTAAATAAATGATATGTTTAGATATTATACACTCTGTAAACTTACCACCCAATATGACGTCCACATTTAGCACATACACAAACTTTCCAAACGTAACCAGGAAACCATGAGTCTTCGGTCTGCCACTATTGAACAAAATAAATGTACTATTATTTATTGCATATTGCGTATAACACTTTCAATAAAAATTATTTAAAACAGTTTAAGAGTGCCTATATTAAATATTATGTTTATACTAATAATATACATTAGTGGTCAGCAACTTTTTAGGACTTCTAGGTTATATTCAAAAATTAAAAATGTTTTTAGAATTTTTCATACTTTAACGGTAAGTATAAATACAGTTAAATTATTTTATAGGTTTAATTTAATGGTTACATTAAGGTCTATAAATATAAAATAATCAATTAAATTATCATTTAGAAGTGGGTCCTATGAGATAGTCAGGAGGGCTGGATAAGGTCCGTGAGCTGTCAGTTTTCGACCAATAATTTATAATAATAATAAATTAACAATATAAATTAGTTTTAACAATTTTAGTATTTAACTTACATTGCCCTTTCCAACACATAAAGTTTTAGATAGTGTAATAATTTCAAATTGTGAATGCAATGAGTTCTTTACAGTTTGGACTTTGATATCTTTCAAACCAAATAATTGAGATACACGGCTATTTGAAGCAGCCGGACTGTCAATTGATACAAGTGATGATAATGGTGAAATATCTGTACCGCAGTGCCGGCAAAGAAAATAGTCATTGACTGTTTTTGACAAGTCTCCAGAGTTAATATCAGTGTCTTGAAACCTGGCTGACTTCCCATATGCCAGACAGACAAATAAAATAACCACAGCAAACACCATTAGACGGATACATTGAAATTTCAATGAAAATCTAAAACCTAGAATTAAAAAAAAAAAAACCAGTAGATTGAAAGGCCTAGAAATATATTATTATTTAAGAAACAGTTTATAATTATCCAGACAAAATTTTGGTTTTTTTACAATCTAATACCATGACTGAGAACGAAACCAAGAACTATTAAACTGGTTTATAAGCTATCGGTCTTGGCTAGTGTTAAAAAATAGAAAAACAAAGTTTTTACCAGATTTTTTAATAAAATAATTTCTAAAAATTAGTAATAAGTCCTAATGAATTGCATAATAAACATTTTAAACATGTTGATTAAAGTAATATAAAAATGTATAGTGTGTGAACAATAATATTATAATCTATGATGAGGAATGTATAGGCAATATAAGTAACTCAGTATGAAGTAACCGAGTAACCAACTGTATACATGTATTAGAAGAGGATATCAGTGCATTATTTGTTTTCCCTCTCTGGTCCATAAATATTAACTTGCTTTCAGCAGGACCAAAATTGTGTCGTTAGCTTTAATATTAGAGTATATTTACTTATTATAAAACTTGAAGTTGAAAACATTCTCTGTGTTTGAGTGTTTTGATTTTTTTTAATATTTTAATTTATATGCAAGTTAAGGTACATAAAATATAAAATATTTTATTTTAAAATGCTCATATATTGTAGAAAAATTGAAACATAAAAAAAACCAATTTTCAAACATAAATAATATTCTTTATTATTAATTAAATTACTTAAGTTTGATAATAGGTCAATTTACTTTAATATTAAAGCTAACAACATAAGATTGATTCTATTGAAAAAATTGTTATTCGTAGGCTAGATATAGAGAAAACAAAGTGCAATAACATACTCTCAATATACAAAATATATAACAATAATTAATTTTACTAATAGTTTTTAAATTAATTTAGTCTATACCAGACACACAGAGAATAAAATACAATCAATACACTATTTATTAATCCTTTTTGTTCGTGTACTATAGTGAACTGTATACTGTCAACAATAATGTTATTTTAATCGGTGAGTTAGTTAATTGTTGGGTAAGCCATAAACAAAATATACATTTAATCTATACTTGTACAGTAGTACTGTTTGGAACATTTTCAAATTTTTAATTACAGCGTTTCAAATTCATTGTTAAGAATACTTTAATTAGATTATAAAATAATTAGGCACTTCAGTATAATTAATTGTTTTTTTTTATTTATTATGACTAATTTCTGTTCATATCTAAATATTAATAAAAAAGGACACATCATACATTTTTTTCAAGTACCCTAGAAACATAATACATTGCTTGTACTCAAATATGTTAATACAAGATTTAAAATGATAAATGGGCAACATTTAAGACTTCTTATGAAATTGTCAACATCTTTAAAGAGGTTAAATGTTTTAAGCTTTACATTTAGGTTAATAGTACAACTACAAAATCATTTTTTTTAAATTTAGCACTTAAAAAATTGATATCTTAACCAATTTGAAGTAGATAATGAAATGAGTTATTGATATGATAAAACCTACTTTTTTCTTATTAGGTACCTCTACATATTATGAAACAGTTGAATTGTTTGTACATATTATATTGTTTAACTATTCACTGCAACAGTAAAAATACAGATGTTTTTTTATGACTCCTAAACTATTGGTTTAGCTTAGTACCAAATATTTATTCAGAGTAAAGATCAAATATTTTTGTAAAGAAAATTATGCCTGAAGGGATGAAATTTATAACAATAGAAAAGTGCTTTAAACATTGGAATACTGTACTTCTACTACATCAAATAATTAAATATTTTTTTAAACCTAAAATAATTATAAAGAAAATAATGATTACAAAAATACAAACAATATTTTATAAATACTAGATAATTTTTAAAAAGGTGTTGACACAATACATGTTGTCTATAGCTAAGTTTATTTTAGTACTAATTTACCAACACAAACAAAAGAACCAAATTTGTTTCTATATTATCAAAAGTTGAATTATGGATTATTATGAAGTTATTATTGTGATCCATATTATCAGCTACACAATCCATCATATCCTTAAGGTTATAACTTTATCTAGTAGGTGCAACCATTTCAAATAGTTCAATATGATTTAATATTAAGTAAATATATAAAAGGATTATAAATAATATCAAAGATTAAACGATATAAAATATAAATATTTTTCAAGCACAATAACATACCTATTGTTTTCGATATGTAAACACTGGCTAACCGTATTAAAAAAAAAAAATAATAGAATGACCAATAATTATTATATTATCATAGTAGTGCCCATAGTATAACAAAATATAACAAAAACAATACTACTTTTAAAATGTATTATTTTACCTAAATTACCTGCATAATAATACACAACCCAAACACAGGCATAGTGACATACCTATATAGGTAAATAATTACATATTGGTTTCATTTTCGAAAATTGCAGGATTAAAAAACACACAATTTTAACAACTCCTTTTATAAACAGTCAACAATACAGTAGATTTAAATCACATTTTCAAAATTCCACACCCAAACTCAGCACCTACTTTTGTGAGCTTGTAGATAAAATAATACATCCATAATCGAGTCGGAACATGGTCCGTCATACAAATTTCGTAGACACAAACATACCTTTGACCGGAAACACGCTGGGAAGTAGGAAAAATCTGAAGAAACGGCAACGTACTATGCGGCGAATGATGAACAAAATTATTTGTTAATTTGATCAGCATCTATTAAAGTATTAAATTACTGTATTATTATTATTGACATTAAAGAATGGCAGTCAACAGTAGAATAAAATAAAACAACATGTCAACAATATTGAATTAAATATCATTAATTATGATAGTGATAATTAATAATCTGCTTATTGCTAACATATATTATAAAATTAAAAATATAAATTAGTACAATATTATAATCATTTAACGTGTACATACCAATAGAATAGAGATAATAACGTACATACAGTGCATAGACAATAATACAAAATATTATAATCGTAATATTATAATCGTCGTGACGTCGTCAGCAGGAACGGCAGCAGCTCCGTACGGGATTGGGGTACTTGTCCCGAAATTTCATGGAGAAAAAAAAAAAGAGAAAAAAGAAAAAGAAAAAGATAACCCAACCTAGCCAACCGCCAAATGAGTTCAAATTTTCAATTTTAGAATTTAGTATTCCTAAATGAGCCGTCTTGAAATATATATTCAATTATGTATTTAATAATTCCCGCGTTTTTACATCTTATTGTTGTGTTTTGTAACGGTTTTT